CAAGGCAGCTAAGCAATGCAAAGAAATAAAAGAGTATGCAAACTGAAAAACGGCCAAAGCCTTCAGTGACTCTTAACAGTGTTCTTTCTAGTAAAAGGAGGCAGGGGAAGACAAAAAGAAATAATAAAGACTCTGAGGAGAGAAGAGAAGGAATATGTGTATATATAGATGGAAGATTTACAAAATAAAAGAGTAGGAATTAGAGCTACTGGATGTAGGGCAGTGAAATAAAGGAAAGAAATTGAAGTGACAATTTGTCAGGCAGCAGAATCAATCACAAAGATCTTTTAAGAAGAAGGAAACATGGATTATGTAACTAAGTATGTCAATAAAATAATACTTATTAAAATAATTAATATTATGCTAAAGTGGTATTAAGAATATTTTTGAAAGATAAAATCAGAATTTCTAAAGTTGCTTTAAAAGTTAATGTAGTTGTAGTCAAAATTTCAGATTCACTAAACCTATTTAACTTCAAGTTTCAGTTTCTTTAGCACTAATATTTTTTCTCCTTTTAATCTCAAATTTTTAACATGTTGAAATATATAAATTATTGACTTTATTAAACATTCTATTAAAAAGAATAGCTATAAAATAGGCAACAACTGAGAATACTTTATATGCTTGTTAATAATAAAATATTGTTTTATAGAAATATATAGGGGCAAAGAACTGTTAACAGTTGTTTCCTCCATCAAGGAAAATTGGATAGATGAATGTTAAAAAGGAAGAGAGGGACTTACATTCACTCTTTCTTTTTTTTCTTTACCCTTTGCATTCGGTGCCATGTCTGGATATTAACTTTTCAAAACTAAATAACTAAATAAAATTTTAAAGATTATTTAAAGGTAAACATATAAGTAAAAAGGCAAAAATAAATAAAAATTTACTCTAATAGCTGTTTTTTGACTAACAAAAAGGAAATAAGTAATCAAAAATTTTAATTTATTTACTGACTTTATAAGGATTTTTAAATGGGATATGAGATAGGACATTAAATTTTGAGAATTATTTTTATCATTTAGTTTTTGAAATTATTTAAAAATCATACATGCTTTTACTTTGTTTTACCTTATTTTTCTTTTCATAAAAAGAGAGAAAGACATTTAAAATCCTAACAAGTTAAACAACTGAATTTCTGAAGAAAGATCCATAATAAGTGATCAAGATTCAAGCTTTGTTTTGACATCTTTGGCTCAAGGAGAAAATGCAACAAAGAATAGCAAAGAAAAGGGAAGAGACCTTTAAATTCCAGGAGGCACAGAACTATCTGCCTCCAAAGGAAAAGTTTAATCAACATGATACATTTAAGACATATCTACTCTTGTTCATACTGTTGATTCTTGCATTCAGCTAATATTTATTGAATACTTATTATGTCAAGCACCATTCCTGTGCATTTGGAAGAGAGTAATAAATAAAACAGGAAAAACTTTTGCCACTCCTCCTCCGAGAGTTTAAAATCTAGTGGGAAGGGCAGACAATAAACAAGATAACTAAGTAAAATGTATAGTATGTTGACAGCAAAGTATTAATGAGGAAAAGATAAAAGCATGGAAGGGGCATCTGAACACTAACAGAGAGAAAAAGCCACACTGAGAAAGTGACATCTGAGTATACAGGTCTATGGAAAGGAGTGCAGGGCAGATATTTTGGGAATTAGCATTGCAGGAAAGGAAAGCAAATGAAAAAACCCTGAGCAAGGAATATTCCTAATGTATCCAACAAACAAGGCCAGTGGGATTTCAATAGAATGAACAAGGAGCAAGAAGTAGAGAAGAGTTTAGGTAATTGAGAGGGTCAAATCATCATATACCTTTATACATCGAAGTAAGAATTTCAGCTTTTTATCTGAGTGAAACTGGAAGTCTTTAGAAAGTTTTGAGCAGAGTTGTGATGTGCTATGAGTCAAATTCAGGGAAGAGATCTCAAGACTTCTTTTTTTCTTTTTTTAATTATATGTACTCCAAATTACAAAATTTATTAAATTACAGAAACCATTATAATTACAGAGACTTTTAGATCATAAATTTATTCTTTTTCCCATAGCCTGGATAGGTCAAATAGTTCAATGGCTACTTCCTCTGAATTTGCTGTTATAGCATGAGCCTGTGCTTAAAAAAACAAAAACAACAACAAAAACATAAAATAGGAATGTCTGAAGGATAGTTTCAAATAATATATTTTACAACTAAGTGGAAAAAATATAATTTGAAATCATTCTGATACCTTTATATCCTAGTCCCGTTAGCCCAAAAGATAATTTTTAGTAGTATAAATTCCTTCACAAACTATTGTATGTCTATGCAAATATACGTAATGTGTGTGTAATTAGAAAAGTTTCCCAAACTGGTGGCTGACTCTATAAATACTTCTATGTAGCCATTTAGATGGAACTAAAGATCAACTTTATTACATATTTTGTTTTTTGTTTCGCTTAACTAAATAAAGTTAAAAGGATAATATTAACTCAGAAGTTTGTATACTTAAGGTACTGACTATTAACATCAGTTTTTCAAGTTGATTAAATGGAAGGCTCTGCTTCTCTTCTCATGCTCACTGTTAATGCATCTAAAAGCTTGTTACTTTAAAATAACACAGATGTATTCTAAGGTCGAAAAAAAGCAAGTATTTTTGACGTGGCTTTTCATCCTTTGAACATTTTTCTTCTGATCTGAAAGCATTCAACTTTTACATCTTAAGAACAAAGATTTAAAAAAAAAAACAAAAACAAGGTGGAGGGAGGGTGGATTTCAATTTAAAATGTCTTCTACCATCACTCCCAATGCAGATTCTCTGAATCCGGCTATGAAGACAAAAACAAAAGAGCCAAAATGTAACATTCCTCCTATCCTCCAACCTTCTAGTTCCAGAGACAAAAACTCATAGAACTAGGCAGAAGGGGGAAGGTGATGTCTGTTTTTGTGTGCATATATGTGTTTTAGTAGGAGGTACTGGAGGGGAAGGGTGCTTGAATAATGACACTAGTACAAGCAAGTTTCCCATTTGGGGATCTGTAATCTCATCAAATATTTTTTATGAGAAAAGCTCTGCAGATCAAAGTAGTAACGGGGCAATAGTATGGAAAACCACTATAGCAGTATACTATGTGCCAGGAGTTTAAACTTATCCCATAGTCAGTTAAGAGTGTGAAAGAACCAGTAGTGGTTTTAAGTTTATATATCATTTATTAGAGAAAGATTAAAGGCATATATAAAAGCCTCCTAAAATTAGGAATAAGATTGGAAGCACAAGAATTTGTCTAGAGAAAATGATATGAGAACAGAATTTAATATTGATACATAGCAACAGAAAAATAGGGAAAAAGATCAAGGTTTGTGAAGGCAAACCTTGATTGTGATGAGGTCTACTTTGTATGAAGATATAAAAAAATACAACATGAGACTTACAATAATAATAAAAAGAAGGAAGAGGAAGATGAGGACCCTTGCAGAAAAAAGCTGAGGGAGTATCTTCATGAGACTCAAAGGAATAGACATACTCTTGGAAGATAATCTAATTCGGAATACAGAAATAACTCCAGGAAAAGTCAAACATTCTAAATACTTATTAATTATTGAATAGTTACTATGTATCAGTAAACTGTTATTCATTATTGATTAGTTTCTATCAGAGCTATTATAAATACATCACATGTATTAGCTCATTTAATCATCATAGTGATGCTGCAGATAATATTATCCTCTTTTTAGAAATGAGGATTTGCCCAAGGTCATAAAGCTATAAAGAATTCAAAAAGAAATAGCTATTATGAGCAGGTGTAGAAATTTATTCACTCATACACTCTAATAAAATTGTATGTATGGGTACTTACAAGGGGTAGGTACTATTCTAGGCATTGGGGAGATATTAGTGGGGGGAGGAGAAAGAAACCTGCCTTCAAGAGTCTTGCATTCTAACAAGGTAAAAATTAAATAGTGTGTGAAAAGGTGATGAGTTCTGTAGGGGAAAACAAGAAATTGGAGCAGGATATGGAAGTTGGAAAGTACACGGTAGGGGAAGGAAATTAATAGTTGAATCTGAAATGGTTTTTAGCGTGTCTGAGAACCCTGGCTTGTAATGGGATAATTTAATCAAGTCACATTTATTTTGTGAATTGATGTATTAGTCTTCCTTCTGTCATTGTATGCTTTCTCACATCTCACATTCATGTTTTCTTAATGCTTCCTTCTTTCCTTACTTTTTTGCTAAGTAGCCCACTTTATTGTTATTTCTCTGCCAAGTATTTTGAAATGTATTTCTCTACTGATGGTTACCTTTAAATTATGTGTATCTTATATTTCTCTACCAACCTCAAGCATGGAAAGTAAGCTCCACACAGCAAGGCCTCATACATGTCTTCTTATGTATTCTATTATTGAGCCTAACACAGTAACAGAAATGTCAAAATATTTTTAAGAGTGAATAAATTAATAGTAGGTATTAACTACATGATCACAATTCTGCTCTGGGGCCAAAGATAGACTCTAGAGAGGGAAACAAAAATTAGAAAGTGAATGCAAAGAAAAATGAAAAAAAAAAACTGCTACAGAGGACAGTGCCTCTATCCTAATCCTGATACTAAATGGTCTTGAGAAATTTACCTATACTATTTTTTTCACTTGAAGAATAGGGAGAGTGTATGAAACAGTGGTTCATCACCTTCTTATGAGTCACAGATCCTTTAGAGAAAACTATAAACACTATCAACATTCTCCACAAAAGCTTTATATACATATATCATGAAAAATAATAACTTGACATGTTTTGTAAGATTATGAAAAGACTTTAATGTGTACACTGTTAATATGATATGAAGATACTAATGAAATATTTCATAACATTTAAAGGTAATTAAATAATTTACATATACATACACACACACACACAAAACCCTCCCCATATTTTATAATAAAGAAAGCCCAAAACTCTCAAGCTGGAAGAAAGCATTTATCCAAAGAAAGAAACAAAAAATTTACAGATTGAAACGTTTTGAAATATTAAAGTCCAGTATCTTCTTTTAAGTTCTTGTAACATATTTATTTCAGATAGGGATGAAGTTGTTTAAGCTTAGCTTTTCTTGACAAACCAATTCTGATTGGTCGACTGCATGTCTTAAGAGGTAGTACTCTTGAAATTCCGTATGAAAAATTACTACCTAAAAATATAAGATGATAAAAGTATATAAGGAAGTAAAAATCACTCATAGTTTCTATGCTTAAAATTTTTTACTAACTCCTAATCATGATCCTAGCAACATTTACTGAGTCATTGAGCTAAGTGCTTTGACTGCATTAGTTTACTTAATCCTATCTCTATTTTTGAAATGTGGAAAACTCAGCACAAAAAGGTTAAGCAACTTGCTCAACATTAAATAGCAGCTAAATAAAATTAGCATTCCAGTCAGGCAGTCTGACTTAATAACAACAACAACAATAGCAAAAACTACACAGGTTTTAAAGTTAACTTGATGTAGTGACTATAAAGATTATGTTTTTGTTTCTATTAGACGTTACTAAGCTGTATTGTTAATGACTGCATTGGCTTCTAATAGATTATTATCACTAATAGAGCACAAATGTATTTGATCTGTTATCTATCAATGGAGGGCTTTGAGTTTGAAGTTTCTATCTAACATCACATTAACATTTTCTAAAAAGTTCAAAACATTTCCTGGAGGTATACCTGTTAACTAATCAAACAGCTAGGATCAACTACTCCTGATGACATAACACAAAACCCCTAAGTAAGTACTTCAAAAAAAACAGTAGGTAGGGTATATATGTAAAGCTAAAAATGTATCAAGCTTTAATAAATTAGTAAGACCTTAATAAAATAGCATGTTATACTAAAATCAGTGTAATCAACATAACATTAAATACAATAAAAGGTAAACAGCATGATTTCTACTAACTTGAATCAAACTGAGTCTGTATATCTCTATAAAAAATAATGCAATAAAATACAAAATTTAGCTACATGTAAATAGGGGAAAAACACAAAAATAGCTACAAGTCAGTTTATGATACTTTATTCAACATTAAAATTATAAATTTAATTATAAAAATAAGAGGAAAAATATCTTGCTAGATTTTTTAATTTTTTTACATAAAAAGGGATTGTCTAACTAAACTAAAATTGTTGAATCATATACTAATAAATTTGATAATTAGAGAATTGGCTATAAATTAGATAATTTCAGCAGTTCATGCTAAGTATACTTCTTCACCATGAAGTTATTATTTCAGAACAAAGCCATGATTAGTCTATTTGATTACTTTTTCAAAGTATGGCTTTCCTCTTTCATATTCTAATATGACAGATACTTCTGATAATTTTGCAAAGGGTGGGAAATCACTGAACCACTTTGTATTAACAGCAGGCCTTTTGCAAGGCACTTGACCTTAAACAGTCATTAAATTGTGGTTTTAAGGATATGCTTCTTTGTCTCCTTGGATTTTCCATCTTTTCATTAAATAAATTATGATCCCTCTTATTATTGCTATATTAATTTACTGCTTTGTATTGGTTAATAATTCTACACATTCAAGCATAATACCAGAAATTGTTCATTTTAGAAATCAATGTAAAGAAAAAAAGTCATAAAGTTTATCAGTGGTCTTTTAGAAATAATACTAATTCAAATATTTTCTAAATCCTTGCAACTCAAAGTTGCAGCTCAATTCAAAGACAAGCAGCATCTCCATTTGCTAGAAATTTGTTATGAATGCAGAATCTTAGAGCCTACTGCACAACGAAATCAGAATCATTTCACAAGACACCCAGATGATCTGTATATCAACTGAAATAAAAATGCACAGTGTGAAGGCTGTAAGTTTTATTTGAGGACTTACTGAGAACCATAGCCCAAGATACAGCCTCTCAGATAGCTCTGAGGAACTGCTCTGAAGAGGTACGGAAGAAGGTCAGCATATATGTGATTTTGGAGGAGAACATGCAGTCAAACACACATCTCAATAGAAGGTTACTGCTAGTCAGGAAGAACAGGTATCTTAGTTAATTATTTTAGTGTTTTCAAAATGTGGGGAGATGCAAGAAATTGGGTTCATACAATTTTTCTCCTGAAAATATCTAGCCATCTAAAGGCCTGTTCTGCCAGTTTTCCCAGAGCACAGAATGCTGATCTCTGCACTGAATGCTTTTCAGGGTATGTTAAATGTCAGAAAGTCAGTGGCTAGCAACTCAGTCCTTGTAGAGTCAGATTACTAGCGACATTCTTTGGCTGGCACATACATACATTAAAGTTAGACAAGTATTTGTGCTAAGTGATATATAACGCTCCTGGCACACTAGCTGGCTGGCATACAGCACACTCAAAATAATTTCAAACTATGTTCTTGCCTTCTCCACATCAGAGAAGGGAGAGAGAGAGGGAGATAGGCTGCACTGGAGATATTTGTAGGAGACACTATTGGAGGCATCATGATGACAAGTGGGTAGGTATCATAAACATTTCAACACAATCAGGAGTTTTCCAATACCTTTAAAAAATCACACCGCATAAGCAGGCACCCACTCTGTCTCGGCAGAGTTAGTCCATTCTTATCCCCACTTTCCAGCATCTCCCAACTTTTCCTTTACATGGATTTTAACAAGCCTCAGGAAGATCATTCCATTTTTATGCACTTTGAAATTGAATTCAAGACTACTCTCCTAACATAGTATTAAATAATTCTGGCTGACCTAACATACTATTTTTCATAGTTCATGCAGAGGAGGCACTTTTCCTTGTGAAAGCACAATAGAGTTTTATGGGTTCAGATATTTCCAACAAATGTAACATTTCTTTTCCAGTTTGGGCACACACTTTAATCTGCCTCAAATATCCATTTCATTATCACAATTATCATCATGATAACAATATGGGTTTGTGCTCCTTAACCTTCCTCTATTCTATCACAAAATATGTTCCTAAACCCAGTTTCTTCCTTTCTTCCTGTCCTAGAAGAAACAACCCTTATTCTTTTTCAGCTCATTCTACCACCCTGCTTATTGTCTCATAGAGTATTGTTCCTTCAATTATTCCCTTTATTCAGGGGAAAAGAAATTACCCATGCGCTTTTTATCTTCCAAGGACTTGGATTAATTGTTCACATATTTCATTGTAAGCTAAGAAAAGAGGAAATTATGCAGTTCTGAAGTGACTGAATAAAAGTACCAGGGACAGCATTCTACTGATAAGGAGCCAGGAGAAAGGCTTTGAGAAAGGATGCATGACTGAAGGTATTTTGGTAAATATATTTCACCTACATCATTATTCTTTCTAGATTCAGTCTTATTGTGTAATACCAGCAATTTCTGACCAAACAAAAAAGTAGTCATTTAGAAAATAGTTCCCTAAATTCAATCCCACCCCCATCTGACCCTCATTGGTACCGCAAGTTACACTAGGTGTTAGACTTAGTGTTTTATTCTGATGTCATAGTCCCCTTAGGCAAAATATAAGGTTAGTTGTTTAACTTTTCTTTAGTTTGATTTTTTATAGTAATGAAAAGTTTAAATGCGGAAGTCTTAAACCATGTTATATCTAAATGATGCTAATTTTTTTCAAAATTACTACATAAAATGTCCATATAAAGAGCCCCATAGCATTTAAAGGATAGAAAACACTGGTAAGAAAATTTATAATTGGGAGAGTAACATCTCATCGATGTAAATCCAACTTAAATAAGTGCTTTTTCTGTTTCTGTCAATTAATGTTACATACAGTAGATGTATATAGGACATATATAACAGCTATCTTATCACATAGTTATTGCAATGCATCACCACAAATATTTCAACAGTTTTATAGAATATATTTCCCAGTAACATTCTAAATGGCATTTTAATTTTTGGCCAATTTTTAACTATTGTAATTTGCATCAGTAAATTATTAATGTTTTCAAACGTATTCAGTTTTTCTATTTATTTTTAACAAGCTGAGTATATTTTCCTTATGTTAAAAATATAAGAATGCAATAATAACCTTAGAAAGTATTAC